GCCTCAACAAAAACGAGGTTTCATCCCGGAGTGTGGATTTGCAGATCTTGCCAATAATTAGACACCCAGTTTTGGGGTTCTAGTTATATTGGTTACTACTTGGGAGAGTATATGATAATTACCCAAAGGCCCCATAGTAGCTCCTTTTTGGGATTACCTTATAGGGTTCTATATATGAACCCTAAAAAAGGAACTACTATGGGGCTTCTGGGTAGGTACTTGGACGCAAGCGGCCCATGGTTCAGGTATTCTGTGCGCCAGACCGAGGATCCCGAGCGGAGCTGCTTGGGCGTATCAAATCAGGGGTCATCTTGTTTATTAATAGGGTACGACGGCTTTAAGGTTTAGGGCTTGAATTTGGGGTTTAGGGTTTGGGATTCTAAGGCTTTAAGGGTAGTTTGGAATACTTATAAGTATTCGTTTATCATGGGACACGAGTAGTTTGGAAAATAATGGCTTCAGCACCTGTCATTCCTCGCGTCGGTGCTGACTTTTGCTCCCTCGTGAGTGCTGTACAGACGGCGGTTTTTGGGTTCTACAGTCCAAATGGGATTCTTAGCCGGCACCCCTTGCCATGCTCCGCCCGCAAGTTTGAGCGCGGATGCCTTGCGCCCAAACCCATTAGAGTATCGAAAGTGTTTCCAATTTCAAGAGTCGGTTTGACCCACCCCCACTTCGGGACAGTCAAGCAACAAAACACGGGTTATACCAGTGTATGCACGGCAAAGTGCAGCGGAATCGCCAGAAAACGAGCATGTTGCCAGTAGTACTAGTAGCACTAGCACTACTAGTGGCAGTAGTAGTAAGTGCCAATAGTAGTTGCTGTTGACGATGAGTTCAGCGCAATGAGCAGGAAGATAAAGATCTGGATGGGCAGGATAAATGATCATCATCATGCTGACGGCTCTGGTGGTTATGTCGATAGCCGTCCCTATCATGACTGCAAAGGACGAATTGAAGCACGCAATTCACTATTTGTGTGCCCTGTCTTTCTGTTCGCATAGGAGTACGGTGATCAACATTAACAGCACTCACCGGCAGCAGCAGCCATCAGCACAACGCACGCTGTGTCCACTCACGATATGTTTTAAAGGTACTGTTGCTAGCATGATGATCATGAAGCGTCCCCGTCTTCGTCGATTGCAGCATCACATGGTTGGAACTTGTTGAAGTCGTGTCAGCACGAACGCATCGTGGCTGGTCGCGTTGTATCTCGTATCTGTCAGGGTTCCGTGAATATGACTGGGACTCTCATGCTACTCTTGCCTTGTAGGGCAGACTCGTTAGTGGAGGTATCGGCACCAGCGTGTTCAGCGTGGCGAGCAGTGCCTGACAAGGTGCCATGATGGAAGGAAAGGGAAGAATACACGCATCATGCTCGGATAACAGCAGCTTTTCTCAAGATACTCGACCATTCCGAGCTGGCCCTCCCCCGCATGGGTGTTCACATTGTCAGCACCTTCGGGGTTTAATCACATGGGTGGTTGTCAAAATTATGGTCCCTTTTTGGGTCCCTAATATAATATGGCACCTATTATTTAGGGTACCCAAAAGAGAGACCTTAGTTTTGAGAACTGCCCACATGAAGTGAAACCCTTCGACCCGTAGATCCAGTACCTGAGCCGTCAGATCATGAGCCCTCGGTTTAGGGTTAAGGGTTTAGGGCCTTTATTATTAAAGCAGCCCAGACAAAAGCTGTGAGGCCCCTAAAGCACGAGCACTTCATCTGCAGACTGGGAACTCCTCCTCTGGCTGCCACTAATATCCCTTATTTTAAATATATTGCCTCCCTTGTTCGGATTGTGGCTATCAGTGCTGCCCATATACTACTGTACATATATCAGAAAGCGCCGCCCTAACAAGGTCTAATTATTCTCGCCTGTCATGGTTCCGTCGTGGTTTAGGCCTTGCTTCAGGTTGCCGCCCTATTCCAGCACATCGTCTGTAGTAGGTGTATACATGTATGTCACAGTGAGTCATAACATAACATAGTACACGACGTTACGAAATTATGGGTTATCATAGTAGAGCATAGTACAAGATGATAAGTAATTCCGTTTAGAGTATATTCTGTATATACACAGCATAGAGTCGCACCGTATATTAGAATAAAATTTACCGACGCACATACGTGGATGTATTATTGTACAGGTAGGTATATGTACATGCACAGATGTACATGTACAACCTGTGATTGTTTCAATGAGCTTGTATATCTATAAATATGTATATATATATATATATATGTGTGTGTATATGTGTATGTTGTGTGTATATGCATATTTATATGTACACGTGCATGCACACGCACATCTAAGTATATGTACATAAATGTATATGTGTATATGTATGTATGTATGTATGTATGTATGTATGTATGTATGTATGTATGTATGTATGTATGTGTGTGTGTATGTATGTATGTATGTATGTATGTATGTATGTATGTATGTATGTATGTATGTATGTATGTATGTATGTATGTATGTATGTATGTATGTGTGGACTCTGGATAGGAGATACGTGTACATATACATTCAATACAGCTATTTGCACATGCACATTCATGTATGTTGGTTCGAGGTGAACTTCAGATGCCAAGCATCTCGCTGCGGAGATTCAGAGCACCTTCCTGACGGCACTGACTTATCTCCCGTCTCGCCGAGCTAACAGCACTGTGACTACGCTCCCCAGTAGTACCCGTAAAGGGGTTAAGGGTTCTGCTAGGTTCCCAAGTAGTACCTTTTCTTCCTTTATTCAAGCCAAACAGGAGGAGAAAGGGGGAAGTGGAAGACATGAAGCCGGCAGCCTGCCCAACTGGGCAGCTGTACCCAAAGGGCCCAAAGTACCTCGGAAGTAGAATGTAGGGTTTCTAGATCAAGACTTTCAATTATGATTTGGGGAAGTTTCCCCCGTAATAGCACCTGGGACCTTTTGGGATGCCCCCGCCTCTCCCGACCGGAACTTCAGATCGGGAGAGACATCAGTCTTATCCTCAATTGGGGAGTCGATCGACATGCCGAAGCGGTTTCTCACAATCATCTTCAACGACATAGATCCAGGTTATATCCAGTAGTTGAGAAACTTCTCGATTCTCGACAGCATGCCGCCTCGGATTCGACAAACAATCGCGGCAATGACGAGGGCTAGAAGCACCAGCAGTAGCCGTTGTACTATTAAGAACATCGTTGCGAAGAACGCAGAACTGCGCCAAACATCCTCGCCTCACCGATTTTCGAGCTACACACGTAACAGCGACACATCCAAGAAAACCAGTTACTCCCAAGTCATTGAGCACACTATCAGCCAACTTCTTCGAGTCGCGGCGAGCTCACATAACTTGAGCTCGTGGCCTCCAGGCGTCAGTCAACCCAAGGTTGCAAGGTTGACTCGGGTCCAAAGATCCAACAGCCTGAATGAATCATCCTCGACCGCGCTCTAACTCTCGGGCTTCTTTCCAATGGATAAACAGCCCCTTTTTCACATCAGCCTACAATCCCTCACTCCAAAGGCCCGTGCCCTTGTTCCTAGATCGCACCTTGGCCTGCCGTCCTTCCTTCCTTTTCGTGCTGTAGACTCCGAAGGAGTGGAAGCCGAAAGTTACACACTCTTGCCGCCGTACCAGAGATTCCGCCTGCGCACGCGAAGAGCCATTTCACGACCGTGCTCCCCAATCTTTCAATCTGAGGCTCATCCAGAACCCTGCTGCCGGTTTTTTCCGGTAGCTACCACAGCAGTGCCACAGTCTAATTAACTACGACGGACAATTGGGAGGTCTCGTGTCCTGTGCTTGCAGCGTGCCAGGCAAGTCGCTCGGAATCACATCAATCAAGTCAGCTATAGCTGTGGATGTGAGACCAACGCGCCTTTTATGAAAAGAAGCGCACGGGGCATTATAGCAAGACTTCAATCAGAATTTCACTCCGAGCCTCCGAACTCAGGCAAGCACTCCAATCCTACGACCTGGAGCATTTCTCCACTTTGCATGTTTAGCCCGGGTTCACACGTCTTACCCACACTAGTTAATGATCAGGTCTACAGCACGGATCCTACTTGTGACATGTCCGAACAACCAGCCCTGACCATGCCATCAACAACCGCAACTTTGACAACAAACTGTAGTCTGTGTGTTCTCCAGTATCCATGTATCTGCACGTCGTTTGATTGTATCTGCTGATGATGATGATGATGATGATTAGGGTTTAGGAGTGCTTGCGATGCTCGTGATGATGATGATGATGATGATGACGATCTTCTGGTTGGGTGTGTTGGATGGTGTTGTTTGCGGCGACCTGTCGGCTTGGGTTCAAGGTGTAGGGAGCAACGGTTTAAGGCTGGCGTATATGGGAGTTTCCGAAAATCAGGGGGACCTTATTGTGGAGCCCTGATGATAGGGATCCAAAGGGTACTATATTAGGGTCCCCCTCTCTGAAACTCCCATATCGGGTTCCAGGTTTAGGGGAGAGTTAAGGTTTTAGGACTTACAAGGTCTCAGGGATCAGGTTGGGTGACCTTTATGGTGGAGACTGCTATTCCCAGTGGTGCAGAGGAAGTCAAGTAAGTGCTCATAGTGGCATAACTGTCAGCTAGTTCATTTGCCCACGCAGCTTCCTCTATCTACCCGAATGTCTTGTGCGTGTATATATATATATATATGTATACACACACATAATATGTTTCCATCCATCCATCCATCCATCCCTCCCTCCCTCCTGTCCTCCCTCCATCCATCCATTCATCCATCCGTCCATCCAGCCATGCATATGTCTATGCCATGCGTACGTTCAGAAGGAAACTATACGTACTCGACAGTCAGTGCTTTGGATGATGGTTGAGGCTGGTGCATCAGCATAGCTGAGAGCTCAAATTTTAAGGTGTATGATCTTGTGATGCCGCCGAGATGTCCATAATTGGCCTTTCATTGTCATTTCACGAGATCCAAACATGATCCCACAGATGGTCACAGATTGCTTAAACCTCAGCTGTGCTGAATGCCTCAGTCCACAACCACGATTACGACCACTTCGACTCAGACGGCCGTGTCCTCAGCTTGCTTGGAGCACTGCCGGTGGGGCTACTTGGAGGTTCATGGGTAGCAAGTGGGTTATAAGTCAACTAATATGGGTCATATTTATGGGTCATATTTATTTATAGTTACCGTACTTATAACTCCACTTATAACTACCCGTGAACCTCCAAGTGCATTCAGAGTTAAAGGGACCTTGTCGTGACGGACCGTTCGAAAGGATCCCAGTCGCGATCCTTAGCCCTGCAACCTCACCCTGCAGAGCCCACCCTCACACACTAAAGCCTAGACATGCAATCCTCAACGAGGGAGCTGTTGTGCACACGAAACAGATCCATCGTTTGAAGTCATCCCGCCGCAGACCACAAGTACGACGACTACGAGCACGACCACCACTGTCCGAACCCCTGCGCAGCGAAGGGTGGGGTTGCAGGCAAGATAGGGGGGGGGTAGCTCTCTAAATCAGGGTCCCCTTCTGGGAAACCAAATAGTACGGCAACCTTATTGAACGGGTCCTGAAGGGGACCCTAGTTTAGAGACCTACCCATATGGCCCATCTTGTTTTTAGGGAGTCCTAAACCCTATAGATCCCCTAAAGGAGCCCCTTAAAGTTACTCGTATAGATAGATCCCTTTAAAGGAACCCCAGGATTTGTATCATCAACCGTAAACTTGGGAGCAATGGGTTTCGTTTGTGGTTTCACCTCGGGCTCGGAGACACTCCGTACCTGGCCGTGCTTAGCCTATCGGTTTAGGGTTTAGGGTTTTGGGTTTAGGGTTTAGGGTTTAGGGTTTAGGGTTTAGGGGTCGGAATAGACCAATAGCATTCCCGTGTAGTCCATATGGAATCATGGTAGTACACACATCGCTATTCCAACCATGAAGCCCTTAAAGTTGTGCAGGCTGCTCGACATGAACCAAGAATCACGCTTTCAGAAAAGTTGAGAGGCCATCGAAGACGTTAACTTCCTGCGGGACCAGACTCACCATGCCCAAGTCAGCACATCTGCACCCCCAAAGTATCCCAGGCTTGTGCAACTCCCGTGTCCGGGTTCTCCATCGAGATCATGGAAGGGATGTGTGGTGGCTAAGCTGAAAGTGACGTCAGCAAGCACCGGATTCTGGGTCTACAATTCAACTTTCTGGTCGTTCGATAAGAGACATGTTGAACCCTGCGGCCTCAGAATTGTTGCTGCAAAGCTCCCATAGCCATGGCATGCATGGTGCTTCTAGGCTTTTCAGATGACAAGCCGCTTGCCTCAGGTGACCTGTCCCAGTACGGTCGCCTCGAATATGCCGATGCCGTCAGCTGCGAGCCGGCTACGACTCCGCCGCTTTGCTTGTCGTCATGTTGCCATTCCCGAAAGAGGCAGAAGAAATTCATATTGCGCTCAGACAGTCTGGGAGTGGAGCTTCAGCTAGGCTAGGCTGGTCGGAAATGATAGTATGAAGCAACACCTGGAATTGACCTCCCCGAAGACTTTCGCTGTTTGAGAACAGCCACAAGTGAAAGCAACCCTTACAGTGCCTTTACACTGAACCACATGGGTGGAGAGTGAGCTGTGCAAGCACCTGCCACACGTTTGCAAAGAGGGAAGCTGGAACGGACGCTGCAGGCCGAAATTCAATGCATGAGAGTTCCAGATAATCAACAACCGACAATAACTGTTATGTAGATGCTGATCAATAAGATCCATCATAGAACCCATGCCATACACAGGGCACCCATAATTGTACAATACGAAGCCCACAAGATGCTCAAAGGTTTGTGCAGCGCGCCCTGGCGAACAAAATGCCCCGAGCTGAGGTCCAGGGGCGGTTTCTGCGAACTTAGGAGCTACTTGTGTGTCTAGTTTAGGCTCCGTACCAATGACCTATACAATTTTTAGGGGGGCTCCTGATTAGAATTATAGTACTAGTATAGTGGACCCAAAATCCGATTCTAATTAAGGCCCCTATAGTACATGGTGGTTGGTTTTGGGTTAACCCGCGTTAAGTTATGGGGTCCTAACAATACAAATCGATTAAGTTAGAAAGAAACTACGATGGAAACTGCAAGCGTATGCAAGGCTGGGGTGCTACATTGAGCCTCCTTATAAGTATATGGATGGTTGTCAAAATTATGGTCCCTTTTTGGGTGCCCTAAATAATAGGTGAGGTACTATAATCGGGACCCCAAAAGGGACCATAATTTTGACAACCACCCATATACCAGAATGATACTTGGACCCTTTGGGTGAATCAATATCGCATCTGATTCTCTGCACATGTGCGGCGTTCCGTCGGGGAAAATCCTTGACTGCCATCGAGCCTTGCAGCTCAACCGATAAGTCGGAATACTATTCCTAGTAGTAGAGTAGGTAACCTTTAAACTATTTTGTGTAGTATAGTCCCTATATAATCCCTATATAAACCCAAAACGGTTAACCTTTAGTTCCCCTTGATACCCGACAAGTATGTATTTGCTATCAGTAAGACTATTCCCTTAGGGGCTTATGGTCCCTTGGTAACGATACTTTGACGAGCCTGCCCAGCCAATTGACAGAGGCCCAGATCAGGCGCTTATTGACTCCGTTGCCCCCTCGTAGCTGCCAGCATTTCGTTTTGTTCAAAGACGAGATTTCTAGGGGTCTCCGTTGAAGTAGTGCAGACTCCAATTGTGTAGGGTCTTGCTTGCTGCAGCTTGCAACAGTGGCGCTGGTATGTCTCCGTTCCTGTCCTCGTTTCTTTCTGTGCGATTCCGCTTGTCATTTCCGTTACGTTCTTGTTTGCACTCCTGCACACGTTCCGTGTGCCGGACCCCGAAACTCAAAGACAGCGAGGAGCGAAAACTGAAATTGAAGGCAAACGGAAAGCCACAGTGATTTGGAAACGGAACACCTGAACCCTAAACCCTAAACCCCTAAACCCTAAACCCTAACGTCTAAACCGGGGCATCGAAGCCCTTTTCGTAAACCGAAGCCTAAGTCTCGGAAACGTTGCCCTGAACCCCAGGCATCCCCTTGAGCGGTTTCTGGCGGTTTCTGGGCTTTCGTTCGCCAAATCCTGAAGTATTGGAATCAGAGTTTCAGATATCCGAGAGTCCCGAAGCGAGTGCATCCCTGAGTTGTTCCCGAAAGAGCCTGGAAACAGCCTGCAAAACCCGCAGCTGCACTAAGGTTCAGCCACTGCGGTGCTTGGTGCATCTACGATTATTACCAGCCGGACAGCTTACGCGAAGTGTGTTTCAGGTAGAAATATACACTGTGGGACGGGCTCCTTTGCATCAGCGGGAGTAGATGACCTATAGCATTTAATGCTTTCAGAGTCGTGTGCAGTGGTCATGTTGTTTCTGGCGGTGCCGACGACAGCTGCCAAACTGCTGATGCTGGTGTTGTGATGACTACCGGTATCAGTATGATAGTGATCATGCTGACCCTGACGATGAAGGTTCTCATGTTGCCGCCAACCTGCTCGAGAGTTCGTGTTACTGCAGGCGCTGCTGCTGCTACTGCCGCTGCCCATTCTGAAGCTTTCAGATTTGTTGGCTGCTGCCACCACCGCTGAAGGCTGCGTGAGGTAATGCTAGACTTGGTGCCCGGGGATGGTTGCAATGATGGCGAAGGCGAGACGGGGATAATGCTGACCTTTGTGATTTTCACGATCATGATCACGGTAATAATAAGGAAATCTAGGGATGGTCCGATGATTGGTCCGCTGCTTTTTCCCTTCAAATTCACAGTACCGGTACCTGTTACTGCGTCTACACCACAAGCAAGCAAGCTGCTTTATTGTCTAACCCAAACTGACAGCAGCAGTATGAACGATAAATAACTTCGCCCGTGTTTATGTTGACAGTAGGTCGGAGTCAAACCGGCACTGCGAGCGAGCATAGCAAGCGCAAACGAGAAGCTCTAGCAATGACAACACATGTAGGCGACATATTGCATCTTCACGACGAGCCGTCGCCAGCGCCACCACCTCCACGACTTCCATCTCCGCCGCCGCCATAAGCATCCGTCCTCACTACGGCACGGCCATTTCAGCAAGCTGAGTTTTCAGTTTGTTGCGCCTTTCCCCGAACCCGAAACCTTAAACCCCTGGTGCAGGACAAAATATCCTACCATTGGAATGCCACTGGCAAGTGCTTCCAACAGTCAGGCGAGAGCGGGACGACCCCAGGGCAGTAGGGTTTAGGGTTTAGCGTTCAGGGTTTGGGTAGAGAAAGGTGCATGAAGTGAAACTCCTGTTCAGATCAGCCAGTGAGCAGAGAGGCGGTTTGAGACCAAGCTTTGGAGGTCCAGCTTTTTGAGCTTCTCGTTTGCAGGTGAGTGACGGAGCTCCGAGGCTTACATGCAGTTGCAGACAGCGATTACTATAGTTAATTTCCTATACTATTTTGGAGGTTCCTTCTTATCATTGTAGCATATTGGGCCCCAAACCCCATCCTGATCATTAAGGCCCCTATAAACTACTTCCATAGCCAAGTTTTGGACAGGGAAGTGATCGAGCGATGTGCGCGGGCCAGCAGCATGGGATGTATATGTGCGGGTTTCCGAAAACTAGGGGTACCTTACTTTGCGGTCTTTATATAATAGGGAGCCTATTATTTTGGGTACTATACTAGGGTCCCCTACTTGCGGAAACCCCATATGTGGGGGTGTAGGAGCAAGACAAAAACAGGGACCTCAAAAGCAGCTCCTACAGTTGATGATATAATTCCTTCATTACATTAATGGCCCTTCACTATGGGAATTATGGCATATTCCTTCTTATGGGTAATTCAGGATGTATATCATCAACCGTACCACCGAAGTAGGCTGGGCACCACCCCTGATTGGAAGCTTTGGCGAGGCCTGTGCCTTGAGAAGTACAAGAATGAGATGGAGAAGGCAGTCGCCAAGAAGCAGCTCATATGTACCGAGGCACCTGCCTGGGCGAGGAATGGCTTCCGGGCTTTGCTCCAAACTCTTAGCCAGCCTGCTGCTCAGAGTGGGTCCGAAACATTGGCGTTGATGGTTGCCTTGTACTTAGTGTTATGTTTCCGCTATGTACTTCTGTCAGCTTGTTGAAAGGTACTATATAGCCTCATATTCTAAAGCATCGCTCGGCCGCAAAGTTAGAGCCCTGCTCCTGTCCCTGACCGAGGATGCTGTCAGTGTGATCTTCATGACTCAGCAATACGTCGCGACACATGTATGATGTGACTAAACTAATGCGAATGCTTCTGCATATGGCTGTATGCGTCTTCTGGAGCAGGTTGGCCGTTGTTGCCCTTTGCTTGTGTTCATCACTCTGTTGCTGTTCAGGGCTTAGGGCTTGAGATTCAGAGAGTGACCCAGGAAATGTAGGGATGCTGCAAGTTGTGCGCGGAGGCCCTACGAAGGCTCATGGCCAGTCGGACATGATATCGGCCGACATGGGACGTTCATTCTAGTGATTACTTACCCAAAGGGTCCAAAGTACCGATATAGTAGAATGTAGGGTTTCTATATTAGGAATTACTATTATGGTTTGGGGAAGTATTCCCCATAACAGTACATAGGACCCTTTGGGTTACATATTTGGTATAGCATGACATACAGCAAGCGCAATGGATGAGACATCTGCCACGTGTTGGCGTCCCCAAGACTGCCGGCAAGAAACGGAGCCTGGGGTCACACTGTATGCGACGATCACTCTTGGATACAAGATACGTCGAACATGGTTAATTATCATGCAACAGCTTGCTGAAAGCCCATGCCAGGTTCGCGTGAATGCTAGATAAAGCTTTGACCCAATAATACTAATGATAATAATAGTATTACTAATGGTTAGTAATAATAGTAATAGTAATAATAGTAGTAAAGTAACAACCTTAACCGTTCAGGAGGAGCCTTGTATGCCCGTTGCGCCAAGCTTGACAAACTCGGTGAGCCTGAGATACTGCCCAGCCCCGAGTGTGTGACCCTAAGGGTCCATGTACTCATAGTTAAGGGTCCTTTAAGGGTACCATAAGGGATCCTTTAAGGGATCTATGAGGGTTCGATAAGGGTTTAGGGTATAAGGGTCCATGCACTCATATAGTATATACATTGGCCTTAATGTAGTCCCTATGGGTACATTGGGGCCCATGTATCTCTATATGGGTACATGGACCCTTAGGGAGAGTGACAGGCATTGAAGCATGTTGTCTTCAGGGTGTTGGTTTCAGACTGACTGAAGGATGGACTTGCTGGTTCGGAGCGTTAGATTTATTGGTTCGTCTTAGAAGAACTACTGCTTGCTCACAGTTGCAGTCTTCGGATGCCAAAGTGCACAAACCTGGGGATGGTAACCGACGACTATGACAATTTAGGGGCCTCTGGAATTCTGAGAGGGTTTGGGGTGGAAGATGATTGTTGGTTATCCCAACCCCTTTTTTTATGTCGACTAACAGCACCATTGGTGAACAAGACACCGTGACGGTGGCTAGTGAAGATGTGGATTAGACGGCCCTGCTACTTCATAGTCTCACACACCTTGTTAAGCATTATCGGAAGAATCCCGGGCATCATACAAAGGGAGGAATGAGCCACGGTATAGTGTTTAAGGCTAAGGAATGCAGAATCTCAGATTAAAGAGCATGTCGTTCGGAGTGAAGCCGAGGCGTCATTGTGTCACCAGTCATTGCCCGAATCCACTGTGAATTGACTGAAACATTTAGCCATCGTATTCAGGATCCTGTAGGAGCGGACGCAAAACCCGAGTCCCTTCCTGGTCAAACATGCGCAAATGCAATCGCTCCAATACCTCAGATGCACCAACACGCGCACACCTGATGCGTCATATCTGGTCCTAACCCTCAACCCCAGAGTATATGACGCCAAATGTCCAGTTAGTTGAGGCAAGACCCTGTCGACCAACAAGGAGGACAGAAGCGAGGAAGCACGTGGTTGTCACGAGAGCCATTCGGTGGCATGCTGGGAAGGATGAGCAAAACAGGCTTGCTTTGCTTGCATGATCCGTCAGTAGTAGTTGTAGCGGCGCGACATCAGAGTCTGTATGCTCATTGATTCTCGCGACTGTTAGTGCTGAGGGCAGCTATGATCGTAGCATGTTCGGAACCACCTTTAGTAGCGCTACTATCATGATTACAGCTCCTGCTCCTCCTGCTGCTGCTGCTGCTGCTACGGCTCCTGTTGCTACTGCTGCTACTACTTGCTACGACCACAACGACGACGACTACGGCTACTACTGCCACTACTGCTGTTACTGCTACTACTGCTATTGCTGCTGCTGCTCCTATTGCTGTTACTGCTACGTACTGCTAGTACTGCAACTACTACTACTACTACTACTACTACTACTACTACTACTACTACTACTACTACTACTACTACTACTACTACTACTACTATTCCTGCTACTACTACTACTACTACTACGACTACGGCTACGACTATGACTACTACTACTACTACTACTACTACTACTACTACTACTACTACTACTACTACTACTACGACTACGGCTACGCTATGACTACTACTACTACTACTACTACTACTACTACTACTACTACTACTACTACTACCACTACGACGACTGTGACTACTACCACCGCTACTACTACTTCGACTACTACTACTACTACTACTACTACTACTACTACTACTACTACTACTACTACGACAACAGCACAATAACTACTACGACGATGACGACTACTACTGCTTCTTCTTCTACTACTGCTACTACTACTACTGCTCCTACGACTTACTCCTCCTGCTACTACTACTACCATCACCACCACCACCACCACCACCACCACGACGACGACGACTACTACTACTACTACTACTACGCACCGCGTGCCACGGGCGCCTATGTGCGCCATAGCAATCGCAACCATAACATGCGGTGTTTTATAGTATACTGCTCAGAAGCAGGAAAATGTTTCGCGAACTACCTGTGTGAGAGCATATGTTTGCGCTTTGTGCTTTTCACGGAGATGGATGCGTTCCTCCGAATACCGTTATTTACAGCATCTTGTGCTTTCCGATGTTGTCCGAACAACAGAAAAACAACCGTATTGGCGGTGGTTTGTGCCTTTGCACAAAGCAGTTTTGCTCCGGAGAAGAAAGACGCGAGGTCGGCAAAGGGGGTTTCGCACTTTGTTCCCACACGCTTCGCAAGTGCTAGAAGGTGCGCTTCCTGTGGGTTTTTGCACGTCGGCTTTCCGGCAGAAGCCTTAAACAGAGACCGCTTTCGACGACGAGGTCACTGTCTTGCAAGAGGGCTCATCATCCCCCAAACCCATCCATGTCCGAACCGTGATAATGCCACTTCTAGGACTACCACTACTAGCGCGACACGTGCCAATGAACTGCGGAAGGGGTAGCTGTCTATAGGAGGCAGCAACATCGGTCGAAATAGTCGTCGCCGTCGTCAAGGTGCACTTCTCAAGAGTCAGAGTTGACAGGGTTGGAAGACAAGACTTTGGATGTATCAGACATCGAAGAAAGACCCACCAGCGCGAAGATCCAGCTTCACGCTAAAGTGGCTGAGATGTCATGCAGGGAAGCAAAAATGTCGCGCGACGGGTTGGTGGCCTTCGTGTACAAAACGGGTCACAAAACTCTGAACTCTGTTCGTTTGGAGCAAACCCTCACCCTCCGGCGCAGACCTCAGGCTACACGCCCTACGTGCGAAGGGCTTTGGCGAATAAATTGCGGCAGCCTCATCTCGCGGAAAAGCCTTAAAAGCAGAGCTGAGCTATGTCTTTGGTGTTTTTCGGAAGTTAGAGCTTTAGGGCTTCGGCTTCTGAATTGGTGTCTGGCCAGTAGTTTTTGGTGCTTGGCGCTTTAAGCATCCAGCGCAGTAGGGCCTTTACAACTGTTGAGGGAGTCGTCTACTGCAAGAATATAGTCGGCTAGTAGGTTATAAGTAGCCGTAAGTAGATAACCCCAACTAAAGCTCAAGCCCGAAGAGAGGAACCGGCACCATTGATTAATTACTGTTGTCATGGCGATCACGAAGTCTGTCAGTATTACCGAGACCCCTCCGTCAGTTGTTGTTGTATTGCCATGTGTTGCTACATGGTAGTCTTAGTGCAGACGTCACGTGTTCTTGTGTATCATCATATAGGTCTGTGTGCTTGCTATCAGTGTTATCAGCTAGTATCTACCTTAACCCTGCAGAACCTACCTTTTTAAGGACTTATATAAGGAAATCATAATAGGGAACCCTAAAAAGGTAGGTTCTTCAGGGTTAACGTAGCTATGGCTTTTACCAACATCTCCCTGTCCGTGTCTGGATGTTGCCGCAAGGTTCAGCCACTGTGGTGCCTTTTGCCTCTACGATTTCGACCAGCCCGACAAGGCAGCCAGCGGATGAGAAACCCTAAACCCTAAACCCTAAACCCTTAAACCCTAAACCCTAAACCCTAAACCCTACAGCGTTTTTCGGGCTGTGCCCGAAGGGTCCAGGTATCTCCTGGGGAGGGTCCGGAGTCTCCTAGGGAGAGCCCTTGGGTCTCTTTGGGGTCTCAGAAATCCTACATTCTGAGGTTCCCTAAAGTGTTAGGACCCTTAGGGTGGGTCTGGGGATCCATTCCCTCCCAACAGTTATGAACACACAATCCTGGCCTGCTCACGCATCGCGCTTGATCCCAGTGTGGCCTAGGCCTTTTATCCTTGCAGAGCGTCAAAAACGCCAGTGGAACCTTGGGCCCTGACCCCCAAAGCCTCAAACCCTAAACCATAAACCTTACACTCAGACCCTAAACCCAGAAACCCTAAACCCCACACCCCAAAGCCTAAACCCTCAAACCCCAAACCGCAAGTTCAGGTCTCCTACTCCTACGACACAATCCGGAAGTGCTGGCACCGAGGGAGTCCGGGATCTCAGTTTGTTTTGGCTCAAGGTTTCGGGTTAAGGGGCCCGGTAAAGGGTTCTAAGGAGTCCCTTGAGAGTTCCTTAAGGGTACTACAGGGTGCAGGGCTTCGGGTTCAGAGTTCAGGGTCGAAGTTTTTTTAAGGGTGCTATAGGGTTCAGGGTTTCGGGTTCAGGGCTTCAGGGTTACCAGCTTTCGAGTTGGGGGTTGGAGAACGAAGCCGCAGTGCCACTTGTTCTGACAAGTTCCAAGGCTACCGAGGCGACTCTATTGTTCGAGGTTGCGTGCAGTGATAAATTGAGTGTCATTTGCTGAGGTGCCGCTTGTCGCAGTGTAGCTTCACACATTGCATTGACCAAGGGAACAGCAATAAACCACCACCACCACCGCCGCCGCCGCCGCCGCCACCACCAGAACCAGAACCACCACAACCCCCGCAACCACCGCAACCAAATACCGCCACCACTGCCCACTGCCACCACCTCCACTAGTATCACCTCCGCTGCCGCCGCCACTGCGACCACGACCACCGCCACCACTTCTTCAAGAGGCACAAAACAGCAGCAACAACAGAAGACAAAGCAAGACACAGAAACAACACAAGCAACACAGCAACTCCAGCAGCAACTTCAACTCCCCCTCCCCCATGCTCCTCCTCCTCCTCCTCCTCCTCCTCCTCCTCCTCCTTCTCCTCCGCCTTCTGCTACTGCTGTTGCTGACGCTGCTTCGTTACATTGCCGTTGCTGGTACTCGTGGTATTAGTGCTAGTGCCGCCCCGAATACATTCAATACCCAAAGGGTCCTATGTACCGATATAGTAGAGTGTAGGGTTTCCATATATTAGGCATTACTATTATGACTTAGGGAAGTATCCCCGATAACAGTACATAGGACCCCTTGGGATAGTCTCAACCAGCATCCGTCGAGCAGAAGCGAGGTGGCTGCCAAGACAACCCCGAGCAGAAGCTCGCGATTGCAAGGAAGGAGAAATTTTGCAAGGTCGGTGCTGTGGGGGATGGGACTGAGGTTTAGGTTTCACTTTAGTGTTTAGGGGTGATGATTTAGGGCCTTTAGGGGGATGAGGCTGAGGTTTAGGTTTCACTTTGGTGTGTAGGCTTGATGGTTTACCTAGACCCCCCAACTACCCTCTACTATACCCCAAATACCCACTATTAAGGACCATAAGGGCTCTATTAAAGGGTATTTGGGGGGTCCTGGTAGGGCTTTCCCTAAACCCTAAACCCTAAACCCTAAACCCCTAAACCCTAAAACCCTAAACCCTTAAACCGAAGTTTAGGGCTTTTTGGGTTTTAGGTTCTTATTGTAAGGTTAAGGTGCGATGCGCCTCGAGCCGGAAGCTGAAGAGTGTGGAGCTCTTCGGCCATCGGAAGCTTCAGGAGACGAGGGCTAGAGTAGTAGTTTTATATTTTATCTTTATAGTATTATCATAGTATTGTTATAGTATTATTTTAGTGTTATTATAGTATTATTATAGTATTATTATAGTATTATTATAGTATTATTATAGTATTATTATAGTATTATTACAGTATTATCATAGTATTCTACTAGATCCTACCGTGAACCCGAAACCCTAACCCTAAACCCTTAAACCCCAAACCCTGAAGCCAGGAACCCTAAACGCCAATCCCGAGGCCCGAGGCTGTTGCATCCATGGAATCCTGATGCTAGTGCGTTTCCTTATTATGCTTTCTTCAAATAAGTCCTGAAAAAGGTAGGTTATTCCGGGCTAAGGTAGGGTTTAAGGTTGAGGATGTTGGCGCTCTCAGCGCTATCCTCACATCCTTTCAGTTTCTGACACATGCTCGTGCTGACAGACCTCGGGTGATGGACGACGGACACCTGAGTGGTCAGAGACAGAGCAGTGAAGCTGGTGATCCTGCCGTTGATGCTGAGAAAGGTAGTTTATCTTTTCAGGGTACAGGTTTAGGGCATCTTATGTCTTTTATCATTTGTCGCTCCACCTATGCTGCAACATAAACCACGGAGGCCGTTAATCATAGAGGGCAGCTACCCTCCAACATTGAAGCTAGTGCTCCAGTCCCGGACTCTGATCATACGAGCTCTGTTGCCCTGCCCCCAATGCTGCCATGCAGTCAGAGATGATTCTGAATTAGTACTAGTAACTGATAGTAATAGTAAGATTAATAGCAATAGTAACTGATGCTAATTTAATACGAACTGCCATAACACTAACTCATAGTAATAAAAAAACAACAATACTTACAACAACTCGGTTGTTCTCAGGCTGACCTTTGCATTCCGGTGCAGAACTCTCACTCGGACCAAGCGACGCTCACCTACTGTGCCGTGACGAATAAAGAAAAAGGTTGCAGATTTGGAGTTCAATGTGCAGGTTGACGGTTGGCTGTTTTGATTCGAGTCTTCTCCGTGGCCACGATATCTAGTTTCTGTTTGCACCCGAAGCTTCACACTCTATACCCTCAGGAGCAAGAGCCCTAAACTTTGCCCTAAAACCTAGACGCCTAAACCCTAAGCCCTGATCCCTACACCCTAAGCCCTAAACCCACGCTTGAAATCAAAAAAAACCCTCAGGTGAGGGACTCAAAGTCAATGGCGCCGATCGGAGCCACAGCGCCAAGGCGACAGGGGATGTGCCGACGAGAACTACGACGAATATGGGGGCGTTTGAAGGATTGAAGTAGGATTCCTTTTAAAGGGTTCTATAAGGGCTATTAGAAAGGGCTACTATAAGGATTTAGACAAGGGGGCCTTAATAATTACCAATACTATTTGAGGGCTCCTTATTACTATAACCATAGCATAGTGGGCCCCAAAACCTTATTCTGATTATTAATGGCCCTACATGACGACTGCTTCTATAGGAGTAGACTTTTTAAGCTGCTGTGTTCGCTTCTGTAACCCTGAACCAACCACGGCTAAGTGTGTCAAAAGTCGTCAGTACACTGGAAATTTGGGCAGGGCATCATTAGCGAGGGACGCTAACAGGAAGTCGTCGACGAATCAGGCTTCAGCACTTCATGGGCTGGAAGGTTGGGATAAGGGGCGGTTGGAGGGGGTCTCGAGTGGAAGAATGAAGGCTTTCTCGGACTTCTCTGACTAAGCTTCAGGGTATGTGCTGGATTTGTTTGGTGAAGTTCCAGCCCGGTGCTGCGAAACCTGCAGGCGCCCTTATAACGCGAATTCCCAAAGGCATAATCCCTCCTAGGAATCAGGCCTTGATCGCGATAAGTCAAATGATTACTAATTATAATGATACTTCACCTGCTGTGACGAAGCCCAAAAGCCCGGCGTAACTGCACCTGAACCTCTCCTCTGCGAAGCAGAGTTTTCGATCGAAACTGGTCAAGGCTTGCAATAGCGCTAATACCGCGAAGGCAGCTGCTGCGCTGTGCTTGTGTCATAGGGACCCTTAGGGGGGTAGGGGGAAATTGGGGGGAGGGGGGGAGGGCACTATATTTCCTTAGATAGACCTACTTATTACGTCCTTATTATGAGCATTAAGGCCCCCTACCCCCCTAAGGTTAAAGGATTGATCGGTCGATTCTGTTTTTTGCCGACAGCGAGGTCCAGTGTCGAAGCACGGTTTAGAGAGTTTAAGGCTCAGGGTTTAGATCCGTGCATCTTGGCTTTGTTTGTTCGTGTAATACAGAAGGTTAGTGTGGTTTTCAACTAGGCTTCGGGTTCGACCAGCTTAGTAGCCCCTTGTATACTCCTTCACAGTAACCCTAGGGCGATGGCTACAGTAAACTAAGGGATGGATTCCTCGTAAAGGCTTGGCACACCTCAGGCATATTATTTGCGCGGGCTGGTCTGTTTGCATGCAGCACGGAGGCAATGTTCAAGCACACATATGCTTATGCTTGTGGAAACCATACATATACATATGTAAATAATTGTAAATACATACATGTTTGTATATATATATATATATATATTTATTTATAGACATAGATATAACATGTCAATCAGACATGCACACATACATTCATACACCCATGCATACATGCGCACATAAACACATAAATACATACATACATACATACATACATACACATACACATACATACATTCATACATACATACATACACACATACACACATAGACACATAAGTACATACATACGTACATGCATGCATACATACATACATACATATACGCACATGCATACATGCACACATACATACACACGTACAGACATACATACATACATACATACCCAGAGATGTCTGTTCGCGTACTTCACACCATGTATACTGTTTGTACATATATATATATACATATGTATATGTATGAATATGTGTTTATATTATATGTAACCACATTCATATTCATGTTTTTGTATGCACGTACGAGTATGTCATGCATGGCACTGGACTGTTTCTGTTTGGGTTCCTTATTAACCATTTTGAACAAGCCCTGCTTGCGGTAGCTGTTCTGACTTTTCTCGCAAGCAGGTCCAGAAAGCACTGGCTAACAAGATGCTCCCCGCCTGCATTCCACACCAGGATGTCCGGGCTAGTCTTTGTTGAATTTTCCGCGCCGTCAAACAAAAATAGGGGCTTCAGGATTTGATGTCGATGCTCTGAGCGAGTTTACAGGCGTGAGAGAGGGCAGCAGAGCATCAGCTATTTTGTTCCTGGCAATTCTTGTGACAGTTGGTCCCAGAGTTGGTCTTGCGATGGTTCAGAAGCTCGGTTCTGTGGGGAACTATCTTGATACTGCTATTTCTACTGTTCTGCAATGTTCTGCATCTAGTCGTCATCGAAATTCAATACCACATTGCCAGAACTTAGTACTATCTCTAGCACTGCTGCTACCACCAAGGGCACAAGGCGTCCAGTCCGGCGAAGCCTTGCAAACACTCGATCACACTTACAGTCTGGGCATACATGGAGGCACTTGAATGCCCAACCCCATGCAATCCCGCAAGTTCCGGTCGCTTGCAGCCCCAACAAACTTCACGTGCAAATCATATCTGAAGTAGAAGGTGGGTTTTTTCTAGTCTTGGTAGTATTCTCAATATGATGAGCAACAAGCCCGCCACTGTCAGTACGACTGCGTTTGCTAACCTTGTGTTCGCGTTCCCCTATACCTTTCCTGGCAGGTTGCTAGTCGCACTTTAACCCTCAAGCCTCAAAGCTCATGGTCAGCTGCTGGCATGACGCAGGTATAATCACTGTGGAGCCTGGTGCCTCTATGACTTCGAGCGCCCAGAGAAGGCCTGCAAAGCAAGACTGTTGAAATGTAGTGCGCTTCGTCTGTGTGGTGCTGCTTGTTTTTGTTTGTGCGGTGATGGCTAGTGCTGCTTACCTCCTACATGTCGTAGACAGAGGGCTGAAGCCTGAAGATTAACCTACAGCATAATACACCCCAGCAGCCACCACCTCTCCCATCGCTTTGTCGTGGCCATGTTCAGGTCCAGGGCAATGTGACCGTCCCTAGCCTGTACCGGCCATTATCATGACGAGGGTTATTCCCAGACCTATTGCGGCTCTCATGAACAAAAACCATCACAACTGGTTCCCTGACCATGAAAGTCAGCATCATCATTGCAATGGGCACCGTATAGCTGGTACAATGTTCGTTGTGGTCGCCGTTCTCGTGTGGGCTACATATTATTTCAACCTCTAACCTTGTGCCACCACTGGCTACTGCTGCTTGCTACTGCCCCAAAGGGTCCAAGTATCATCATGGTATATACTTAGGCCCCCAAAATACCCTATATGTATATACCAGAATGAGACTTGGACCCTTTGGGTGCAACCGCTGCGGCTTCTGCTACTGCTGCCGCTTTTGCTGCACCTACCAACAGTCATCAGTGCCGGCCACTGCTCTTGCTGCAACTACTATAATACTACTACTACTACTACTACTACTACTACTACTACTACTACTACTACTACTACTACTACTACTACTACTACTACTACTTCTACTACTACTATTACTACCACTACTACTACTACTACTACTACTACTACTACTACTACTACTACTACTACTACTACTACTACTACTGCTGCTGCTACTACTACTACTACTACTACTGCTACTGCTACTGCTACTGCTACTACAAATGCTACTGCTACTACTACTACTACTACTACTACTACTACTACTACTACTACTACTACACGTACTACTACTACTACTACTATTTTTTCAATTGAACGCTGTGCGAGCGTGCTCTGCGCTTTGCGGGCGCCTTTGGTCTCGTGCACTCGTGAAACTGCTTCTAGCATGCATCGCTCATACCTCTCTAATCAGCTCAAGCTACTGAAAACTACAGCTACAAAAGCTTCCTCCTCCGACGCCTTGGTGTGAACAGACGCGTCCATCTGTGCACCTGTCACAACAATTAGGCCGTACTTCAGACGAAGCCGGCACCTGGAGTATCCGTCTCGTGGCGTCCCACACGGATTACTCATGTTGAAGACAGAAGGCCGTAAGGGTCATGTGCTCATGACCGCGTGTACCTGCATGCATCGCCGATGGAATGGCTGTTGGCAACTTGGACGTGGGCAACTCTCTGATGCAGTGATGTGCTGTTTGTAAGCGACTAGCTCGCGGTTCACAGGCTTCCGAAGAGATTTGCTAAGCGTCGGAAGAGGTCCGAATTCCCAGAGTCTGTGACATAGGGGATCAAAAAGTCTGTGACATATCTCTACCCTCACTGGTCGTGACCTTTTGGCCACTGCTGGGAGTAGCTGTGCCAGGACCACTGCTGCCACCAGTCCCAGTCGTCCTCTTGGGAGGAGCGTGCCTGCCTGGCCCACTGGATCGAGGATGAAGAGGAGGGGGCATCGCGCTGACGCTTGCCCTCTGTGTCAGCCTCTTGCATCTGTGGGCGCTTGTTAGGCGCAGCAGCAGCAGCCAGTTTGGCCATGCGCTTGTCTTCCTCGTGCCCCTTGTCATGCTGAATCCGCATCTTCATGATGGAGTAGGCATCTTTGTTGGGTTTGACCCTGAAGACACGAGCTGGGAGTCCGGCTGATTTGGCCGTCTCATTGTAGACTGCCACGATGGTAGTGGCGATCATGTTGAACTCTACCCACGAGGGGAAGTGCTGCTGAAAGTCCTTCTCGTCCCACATCTTGTTGAAGCAGGCATGGATAAGGCCATGCACCTTTGTGGGGGCATCCAGCTCGCGATAGGCTCCTCCCGAGCCTGTGGCTATAGTGACCTTCCCATCGCTGGTGAGGACCCGCCTCACCGACATGGCGATGTCCCATGTGAGGCCTGTTTGTGTCCTTACTGACTTGATGGCAGAAAACAGCGGGGGTACCTCGCGGAGTGCGTCCATCCTGGTAGACCAGAGGGTCTGCTGCTCGTGGTTGGTGAGGCCTCCGAGAATGACGGGAGCCACCAGGATATTGATGGAAGCCAAGGCCCGAATCCAGTCCTGGTGGGACTGGGAGCTCAGCAGTTGAGCCAGCTCCTGCCTCGTGTATCGTACTGTCTGTTGTGGAGCCGGCTGTGGAACATAACCAACGGGTGCCGCATTGGTTTGCGGGGGCTCATATGCTGGAGGAAGGAGGAGGGGGCGTGTGGGAGCGCGTAGCGGCCAGGGTGTCAGGGGCAGGGGAAGAGGCAGACTTGGGAGGGTGCGGAGGGATCGGGGAAACAGGGAGAGCCGGTGGGGGAGCAGGTGCTGCCGAAGAGGAATTCTCCGGAGGCTGGGGGCATGGGGTGGGCACCGTGGACGGTGGGGCCTTAGCCGGAAGCGCTGGGGCCGCCTTCGGTGCTTCCACCTGGCTTGCCTTGAAAGCCGCCTTTTCGGCCGCTGTGGAAGTGAAAGGGCAGGGGGAAGGCGGCGGCTCAAAGTCGGCTGCTTTGTCTGATCCTTTAGTCCTGGTGCTGCTGGGTGGGAGAGGAATCTCCTGTGGATGCTTTGGGGGAGGGGGAGGAAGTGGTGCGAGGGTTGCCGACATGTCGCTTGGTGCCGCAGGTTGTGACACAGGGTCATGCTTCTGCGTGACAAAGTGGTTTTTGAGGCCGTGGCTAGTGCTGAACTGGATCTGTCGGTTATGCTTCCGGCAGTGGAGGCAGCACAGCCACATGGAGCCTGAAACCTCCATTTGTCCCAAGCCGCGAGGGATGAGCTCCAGCACATCCTGCTCTGTAAGATCTTGGTTATAATGATGGGTCTCGCGGACTGTGGCCATGAGCGCCGCAAAGGAGTTGTGCTGGATGCTGTCTGCCACATAGGTTTCAATGTCCTCCTGAGTAGGAGGAGGAGGAGCTGATGTGGCGGTTGCCGTGGTCTGTGACCTAAGTGGCTGAGGTGAGCTGTGCTCTTCAGGTCGATCGGACTGGATTTCCAGGGAGATGTCGGGAAGCTGGCTCTGCAGCATGCGATCGGTTCGTTCCTTGGTGGTGGGGTCTCCCTGAAAACCCTTCATCCACTTCCAGCACCTGGTGTAGGCGACTGTCGTGTTGTTGGCTGTCACAAAGTAGTGGCCATCGTTGTCATACCTTTTGTTCTTCACGCGCTTGTCCCAGCGCTCCGAGAACAGGTAGATGGGGCCAAACTTGGCGGAAACATTCCAGCCCGCTTGAGGGGAATGACCAAGGTCTCGACTCAAGATCTGCCAGAGAAATTTGCAGAAGATCATGTATTCCAGGTTCGCCTTCGCTGTCATAACCTGACGGCTGAAGGCGTGCTGTATGGCCTCCCTCATCAAAGGGTGCCTGGGCTTGCCATAGATGATGCCTTGAAAGATGTGATCTCCTTTGACTCCGATGGCCATGACCATGAACTCCTTTGGGAGTTGGCCAGGTGGGGAGGGTCTGTGACCCACTTCACCTGCCGTCGTTGAGTGAGCTGTGCTCCAATCTGCTGCCATGAGTTGCAGTACCTGTTCCCAGGGTACCACAAAGCCACATTTAATATCGACATAGAGGCCGCCGTGCTGGTAGTGGTAAACGTAGCGGAACACGTCGGCTCTATGAGCAGGTTGACTGAGGCGGTCCAGCAGATTGGAGCCGTACTTTCCGGCAAGTTGCCGCAGGGTAGCCCGAAGGATACCATCGTCACAGAATTTGCGGGTGAAGCCTGCAAACATTTTGACCGCAACTTGGGCGGGCTCCGGCTTGTCGTCGTGGACATAGGTCTGAAAGAGGAGGGCCGGGACGGGGGCGGCCTCCCATTCTGGGAGATGCATGAAGCGCATACCCAGGGGCCATGTCCGTACTGCATGGCAACTTCCGAAAGATCTCGGACAGTGCGGCATTGTGACAGAGCCTGGGCTGCCAGCATTTCGACATGCATGTCCTGCTGGCGAGCATTCCAGCCAGCAACCACGAGGACAGGCAGTCCTGGGGTGTTGCGCATTTCCTCGATGGCTCTTGTGACAAGTGCCGGGATGACGATGTCCGCAACATCAGGGCGGAAGTGGAGATTTTTGGAGTTGTAGAGCCATTCTACCCCTCCTACTCCAGGTATCTGTGCCAAATCCATGATTTCCTGATTTGGCAGGTTTTTGTCCGCAAAACCATATTGGACCCTGCCGTCTATCAGGTAGTCATAATTGACTTGCTTCTCCGGGCGCAAGCTTCTTGACAGCGGAATAAAGCGAACATTGATTTGTCCGTCAAGGTGGCTCTCCAATATGGAGGCCACCGGCTGACTCTGAACCGCCGCCTTAAATTTGTGCGGCCCAAAGAGGCCAAATTGCCAGTGGAGGAGCTCCATGATGGAGGGGACGCTGCTAGCAGAAATATTGAGGGCGGCGCCTGGACAGCTTAAGACCTGTCCCGTCAGCAATGGGAACACTCCGTACGTATGTCCCCGTAGCATGTGCTGCAAGGTGCTATCGCTGAGCACCAGAAAGGGTCCCAAACTGGGAGGGGTGTCCATGGTCTCAGCTTTAGCTGATGGGCCAGAGTCTGTGACACGCGGCCAAGAGGTGAGCTGTGCTCTTCGCGGAGTCTCAGTTTGTTCTGAAGTCTTAGCTTCTGCAAGGCATGTCTAAAGAGCAAAGCTGCTATGCTTCTGCTGTTGCCTACTGTATCGGCAGTTCGAACTGACAGCTGCGGTATGCATGCACCGCGTTACAGAGTCATATGGCCAAGCACGAAGCTCAGGGCGACGCAGAACGACTGGAGACAAAGAACATCAGCAGAGGGCACGCGAGCAAGGACTGCTGGTGCCATGTGGTAGCTGGGGCCTCGGATTGCAGGATAGAGCAAGCGATAATGCAGCAGTAGCTTTCAGGCA